GTTATGGGGGGTTATAGGGGGGTTATGGGGGTGTATGGGGGGTATAGGGGCTATGGGGGTGTATGGGGGGGTTATGGGGGTGTATGGGGGATATAGGGGTTATGAGGGGCTCATCCGTGTTCCCCCCAGAGCTGCCCCAGTCGGATGCTCCGTGCCCACCGGGGTTCCAGCGGCAGAACGGGTCCTGCGAGGGTGAGCGGGGGCCGGGAATGGGGGGGTGGGGGGAGATGGGGGATGGGGGATCTGAGGGTGCCCCCCCTCACCCCCCCCCAGACGTGGATGAGTGCGGCCGGGGCGGGTTCTGCCGCAATGGGCTCTGCACCAACACCCCCGGGAGCTTCGCCTGCCTCTGCCCCCCCGGCTTCCTCCTGGATGCGTCCTGGTCCAGCTGCATCTGTGAGCGGGGGAAATGGGGGGCATGGGGGGGGGACAGGGATTGGGTGGTAGCGGGAATGGGAATGGGGAGGGGAAAAGGGTGAGGGTGGGGATGGGGATGGGATGGGGATGGGGATGAAGATGAGGATGGGGATGGGGATGGGGATGGGGATGATGGGGATGGGGATGATGAAGATGAGGATGATGAAGATGGGGATGGGGATGATGGGGATGGGATGGGGATGGGGATGGGGATGGGATGAAGATGGGGATGGGGATGGGGATGAGGATGGTGATGGGGATGGGGATGATGAAGATGGGGATGGGGATGATGAAGATGGGGATGGGGATGATGGGGATGGGGATGATGAAGAGGGGGATAAGGATGATGGGGATGGGGATTATGAAGATGGGGATGATGAAGATGGGGATGGGGATGATGAAGATGAGGATGATGAAGATGGGGATGGGGATGATGATGAGGATAATGAAGATGGGGATGGGGATGATGAAGATGGGGATGATGTGGATGGGATGAAGATGGGGATGATGGGGATGGGGATGATGAAGAGAGGGATCGGGATGATGGGGATGGGGATGATGATGATGGGGGATGATGAAGATGGGGGATGGGGATGGGATGAAGGATTGATCATGATGGGATGATGGGGATGGGGATGATAGGGATTATCAAGAGGGGGATGGGGGATGAAGATGAAGATGGGGATGATGGGGATGATGAAGATGGGGATGATGTGGAGGGATGGATGGGGATGATGGGGATGGGGATGGGATAGGGATTATCATGATGGGGATGATGGGGATGATGATGAAGTTGGGGATGATGAAGAGGGGGATGGGGATGATGGGGATGGGGATGGGATAGGGATTATCATGATGGGGATGATGGGGATGATGAAGATGAAGATGGGGATGATGAAGATGAAGATGGGGATGATGAAGATGAAGATGGGGATGATGAAGATGGGAATGATGAAGATGGGGATGGGGATGATGGGGATGGGGATGGGGATGATGGGGATGATGGGGATGGGGTCGATGCCGGTCCCGCTCCGCAGCCCAGCAGGTGCTGTCGGAGGCGCGGGGTCCCTGTTTCCGGGTGCTGCGCGCCGGGCGCTGCGCGCTCCCCACGCTGCGCAACATCACGCGCCAGATCTGCTGCTGCAGCCGCGTGGGCAAGGCCTGGGGGGGGTCCTGCCTGCGCTGCCCCCCCCCCGGCTCCGGTGAGCCCCACTGAGACCCATGGAAACCCCATTGAAAACCCACTGATCCCCATTGAACACCATTGAAACCCCTTTGAAACCCACTGATCCCCATTGAACCCCATTGATCCCCACTGAACCCAACTGAAACACCATTGATCCCCATTGAACCCCACTGATCCCCATTGAGCCCCACTGAACCCAATTGAAACACCATTGATCCCCATTGAACCCCACTGATCCCCATTGAACCCCACTGAACCCCATTGAGCCCCACTGCACCCCACTGAAACCCCATTGAAACCCAGTGATCCCCATTGAACCCCATTGAAACCCCCTTGAAACCCATTGATCCCCATTGAACCCCCCACTGAACCCCCATTCATCCTCATTGAACCCCATTGATCCTCACTGATACCCATTGACCCCCATTGATCCCCATTGACCCCCATTGATCCCCATTGATCCCCATTGATCCCCATTGATCCCCATTGACCCCCATTGATCCCCATTGACTCCATTGATCCCCATTGACCCCCATTGCCCCCCCATTGAGAACCATTGACCCCCATTGACCCCCATTGACCCCCATTGACCCCCATTGATCCCCATTGATCCCCATGGACCACACAGCATCCTGCATCCCGTGGATGCTCCAGAGGTCCAGAGGGATGCTGGGGGGGGGGGGGCAGATTTGGGGGTGACCCCCCCTTTCCCCCCCCCCATGCAGAGGGGTTCAAGGAGATCTGCCCAGCCGGCCCCGGGTACCACTACTCCGCCTCCGACCTCCGCTTCAACGCCCGCTACCTGGGGCAGGATTGGACCCACGTCCCCCTCGGGCAGCCCCGCGCCGGCACCGCCGCCCCCCCGGCCACAAGTGAGCACCCCCAGCCCCCCCCCAGATCCATTCCCCCCCTCCCCAGCCCCCCAAGTCACCCTCACCCCACCCCCAGCAGCCCCAGCCCCATGGCACCAGGAGCAACCGCCGGGATCAGGACCAGGACCGGGATCAGGACCAGGATCGGGCGCCCCCCCCATTGTCACCCCATTGCCGGCGGCCACCACGAGGCCACCGCGGCCCCCCCATGAGCCCCCCCCGGCCCCTGAGGTCATTGTGGTGCCCAGGCCCACCATGGGGCTGCTGGGACCCATCCCCACGCCGGAGGCACCAGGTATGGGGGGTTCCATGCGTGTCCAAGCGTGTTCCATGCATGTCCATGGGTGTCCATTCCTGTTCCATGCGTGTTCCATGCATGTTCCATGTGTATCCATGTGTGTTCCATGCATGTTCCATGTGTATCCATGCATGTTCCATGCATGTTCCATGTGTATCCATGTGTGTTCCATGTATGTTCCATGTGTATCCATGTGTATCCATGTATGTTTCATGTGTATCCATGCATGTTCCATGTGTATCCATGTGTATCCATGTATGTTCCATGTGTATCCATGTATGTTCCATGTGTATCCATGCGTGTTCCATGTATGTTCCATGTATGTTCCATGTGTATCCATGTATGTTCCATGTGTATCCATGTATGTTCCATGTGTATCCATGCATGTTCCATGTATGTTCCATGTGTATCCATGTATGTTCCATGTGTTTCCATGCGTGTTCCATGTATGTTCCATGTATGTTCCATGTGTATCCATGTATGTTCCATGTATATCCATGCGTGTTCCATGCAGCGGGCAGCGTGTGCGACCGGAACCCGCAGCTCTGCGGCCCCGGGCGCTGCGTCCCGCACCGTGGGGGCTACTCCTGCCGCTGCCACCCTGGCTTCTGGCTCAGCACCCAGGGCACCCACTGCATCGGTGAGCACCCAATGCCACGGGCACCCATCGCCCCATGCACCCATCACCCCATACACCCAATGCCATGGGCACCCATCGCCCCATGCACCCATCACCCCATACACCCAATGCCACGGGCACCCATTGCCCCATGCACCCATTGCCCCATACACCCAATGCCACGGGCACCCATTGCCCCATGCACCCATTGCCCCATGCACCCATTGCCCCATGCACCCATTGCCTCATGCACCCAATGCCCCATGCACCCACTGCCCCATGCACCCACTGCCCCATGCACCCAATGCCCCATGCACCCATTGCCCTGGGCATCCATTGCTGCAGGTACCCATCTTTCCCTGCACCCATCTTCCCATGCACCCATCCCAATGCACCCATCCCAATGCACCCATCCCTCACCCCATCCCCGCGCACCCACCCCACACCCCCATCCCCACACCCCCATCACTGTGAGCTCCCACCCATCCTCCTGAGCCATCGCCCCCCCCAGACGTGGACGAGTGCCGCCGCAGCCCCCGGCCCTGCACCCATGGGCGCTGCGAGAACACGGTTGGGAGCTACCGGTGCCTTTGCCAGGCCGGGTACCGGCCCAGCGCTGCCGGCACCGAGTGCCAAGGTCAGCAGGGACCCATTGATGGGGGGGGGGGGTGTTCCATGTCCTGGTGGGTGCTGATCACCCCCCCTTGTGTCCCCATAGATGTGGATGAGTGCGACCAGAGCCCCCCCCCCTGCACCCATGGGCGCTGCGAGAACCTGCCCGGCTCCTACCGGTGCCTCTGCCCCGGCGGGTACCGCGCCGTGGCGCCGGGAGAGCCCTGCCAGGGTGAGCGGGGATGGGGGGGCATCATTGGGGGCACGGCGCCATAGGGGTGCCATGCAATGGGGGCATCACGCAATGGGGTCACCCCACCATGGGGGTCCCCACACGCTGAGCCCCCCACATCCCCCCCACAGACATCGACGAGTGCGAGAACGAGGCTGCGTGCCCGGGCCAGGAGTGCCTGAACACCGCGGGCTCCTTCCAGTGCCGGCCCTGCCTGGTGGGCTTCCGCCCGCACCGTGGCCGCTGCGCAGGTCCCGGACCCCCCCAGACACCCGCGTCCATTGACCGCCTCCATTGACCGCGTCCATTGACCGCGTCCATTGACCTCATCCATTGACCTCATCCATTGACCGCATCCATTGACCACATCCATTGGCCGCATCCATTGACCGCGTCCATTGACCGCGTCCATTGACCGCATCCATTGGCCGCATCCATTGACCGCATCCATTGACCACATCCATTGACCTCATCCATTGACCACATCCATTGGCCGCATCCATTGGCCGCATCCATTGACTGCGTCCATTGATCGCATCCATTGACAGCATCCATTGATCACATCCATTGACCGCATCCATTGACCACGTCCATTGACAGCATCCATTCACGGCATCCATTGACCGCATTCATTGACAGCATCCATTGATCACGTCCACTGACCACGTCCGTTGACCACATCCATTGACCTCATCCATTGACCGCATCCATTGACCTCATCCATTGACCGCATCCATTGACCGCATCCATTGACCTCATCCATTGACCGCATCCATTGACCTCATCCATTGACCGCATCCATTGACCTCATCCATTGACCGCCTCCATTGACCTCATCCATTGACCGCCTCCATTGACCTCATCCATTGACCGCATCCGTTGACCTCATCCGTTGACCGCATCCATTGACCTCATCCATTGACCGCATCCATTGACCTCATCCATTGACCGCATCCATTGACCTCATCCATTGACCGCATCCGTTGACCTCATCCATTGACCGCATCCATTGACCTCATCCATTGACCGCATCCATTGACCTCATCCATTGACCTCATCCATTGACCGCATCCGTTGACCGCATCCGTTGACCGCAGACATCAACGAGTGCCTGGAGGGGGATTTCTGCTTCCCGCACGGGGAATGCCTCAACACCGAGGGCTCCTTCACCTGCCTCTGTGCACAGGGATTCACCCCCACGGCCGCGGGCACCGCGTGCACCGGTGCGTGTGGCACAGCCACCCTGCTCCCATCCGAGTCCCTGCTCCCATCCCATACCCCATATCCCATACCCCACACCCCATACCCCATATCCCACATCCCATATCCCATATCCCATACCCCACACCCCATACCCCATATCCCATACCCCACACCCCATATCCCACATCCCATACCCCACACCCCATACCCCACCCCATACCCCATATCCCACACCCCATACCCCACACCCCATACCCCATATCCTATACCCCACACCCTGTACCCCATACCCCACATCCCGCAGACATCGACGAGTGCCAGCGCGGGGGCCTCTGCGCCGGCGGCCTCTGCACCAACACCGCCGGCTCCTTTGAGTGCCGCTGCCCCCCCGGCTTCCGCAGCGACCCCGAGCAGGCCGAGTGCCATGGTGAGGGGCTGCGGCCATGGTGGGGGGAGCCATGGGGAACACCAGGATCTATGGGGAACATCAGGATCTATGGGGCCATGAGGTGCAGAGGGAACATGGGGAAGGGCTAGTACCGTGCCATGGGGTGTAGGAGCAGAAGGAGGATGCCATGGAGCACAGGACCACAGGGATGATGCTATGGGGTAGAGGACCAGAAGGAGGATGCTATGAGGTAGAGGACCCAAAGGAGGGTGCTGTGGGGCACAGGACCATAAGGGCGATGCTCTGGGATACAGGACTAAGAGGATGCTCTGGGATGTAGAAGGATGCTCTGCTGCCCAGAGCTGCCCAGGACCTCCCCCCCCATAGGTGCAGGCCCCCCCCCTCAAACTTGTTCCCCTCCAATCCCCCCCCGCCACCCCATTACCCCCCCAGATGTGGACGAGTGCTCCCACAACGGGACCCTGTGTGGGGCCCACGCCACCTGCCTCAACCTGCCCGGCTCCTTCCAATGCGCCTGCGACCCCGGCTACGAGACGGCCCCCAACGGCCACCACTGCGTGGGTACGGATGGGACCAACGGGGGGGGATCCCTGTTATAACCCCCCATTGGCCCCCATTGCCCCCATTATTGCTCCCCATTGCCCCCATTATTGACCCCTATTGCCGCCCATTATTGTCCCCCTTTGACCCCGATTATTGCCCCCATTGCCCCTCATTATTGCCCCCCATTATTACCCCCCTTTGCCCCCTATTATTGCCCCTATTGCCCTCATTATTGCCCCCATTGCCCCGCATTATTGCCCGCCCATTCCCCCCCATTATTGCAACCCTTTGCCCCCATTATTGCACATTATTGCCCCCATTATTGCCCCCATTATTGCCCCCCATTGCCCTCCATTATTGACCCACATTGCCCCCCTTATTGCCCCCACTGCCCCCATTATTACCCCCATTATTGCCCCATTATTGCCCCCATTGCCCTCCATTATTGCCCCCATTGCCCCCCATTATTGCACATTATTGCCCCCATTATTGCCCCCATTGCCCTCCATTATTGCCCCCATTGCCCCCCATTGTCCCCCATTATTGCCCCCATTATTGCCCCATTATTGCCCCCATTGTCCCTCATTATTGCCCCCATTGTCCCCCATTATTGCCCCCATTGTCCCCCATTATTGCCCCCCACTGCCCCCATTATTACCCCCATTATTGCCCCCATTGCCCCCCGTTATTGCCCCCCATTATTGCCCCCATTGTCCCCCATTATTGCCCCCCATTGTCCCCCATTATTGCCCCGCATTATTGCCCCCATTGTCCCCTATTATTGCCCCCATTGTCCCCCATTATTGCCCCCATTGTCCCCCATTTTTGCCCCCCATTGTCCCCCATTATTGCCCCGCATTATTGCCCCCATTGTCCCCCATTATTGCCCCCATTGTCCCCCATTATTGCCCTGCATTATTGCCCCCATTATTGCCCCCCATTGTCCCCCATTATTGCCCCCATTATTGCCCCCATTGCCCCCCATTATTGCCCCCATTATTGCCCCATTATTGCCCCCATTGTCCCTCATTATTGCCCCCATTGTCCCCCATTATTGCCCCCATTATTGCCCCCATTGCCCCCCATTGTCCCCCATTTTTGTCCCCCATTATTGTCCCCCATTTTTGCCCCCATTATTACCCCCCCATTATTGCCCCCCATTGCCCCCCATTATTGCCCCCCTTGCCCCCCATAGACGTGAACGAGTGCGAGACCCTGCTCGGGGTGTGCGGGGCCGAGCGCTGCGAGAACGCGGACGGCTCCTTCCTGTGCGTGTGCCCCGACGGCCGCCACGAGTTCGATCCCGTCCGCGGCCGCTGCGGGGCGCCCTCGGGCGCGGCCCCCGCCCTGCTCCGCAGCGCCCCCGGCGGCAGCGCCGGGTGTTACAGCCGCGCATGCGCGCTGCTGGCGCCCAGCGTCACCCGGGGGCAGTGCTGCTGCAGCCTGGGCGGGGCGTGGGGGGAGCGATGCCCCTCCCCCAACCACAGCACCCACCCCTCCCCCAACCACAGCACCCACCCCTCCCCCAACCACGGCCCCTGCCCAGAACCCGGCTCCGGTACGGAAATGGGGGGGGGGGGGGGGGGGGGGGGGGGTTGGGGGGGGGGGGGGGGATGGGAGGGGGGGGGATGGGAGGGGGGGGGATGAGGGGGGGTGGGGGGATTGGGGGGGATCAGAGGGGGTTTGGGGGTAATGGGTGTCACGAGGGAGGTTTGGGGGTGATGGGGGGCTGGGGGGTTTTGGGGGTAATGGTGGGGCATGGGGGTTTGGGGGATTTGGTGGGGGGATGAGGGGGGTTTTAGGGGGCTGGGGGTGATGGGGGGCTGGGGGGTTTTGGGGGCAATGGTGGGGCATGGGGGGGGTTGGGGGATTTGGTGGGGGGATGAGGGGGGTTTTAGGGGGCTGGGGGTGATGGGGGATGAGGGGGGTGATGGGGGGTTGGTGGGGGATGAGGGGGGTGATGGGGTGTTTGGGGGTCATGGGAGGGCATGTTGGTGGTTTGGGGGGGGGTTTGGGGGGGGGTGGATGCCCACGGCCCCCCCATGCCCCATAGAGGACCATGACGCCCTCTGCCCGCATGGGCCCGGCCATGCGGAGGACGCCGAGGGAGCCCCCGTAGGTGAGTGGGGTCCCCATTGCCCCCATTACCCCATCACCCCATTACCCCCATTCCCCCATCACCCCCATTCCCCCATTACTCCCATTGCCCCCATCACCCCCATTACCACCATTTCCCCATTATCCCATTCCCCCCATTACCCCATTACCCCCATTACCCCATAACCCCCATTCCCCCATCACCCCCATTCCCCCTTCACCCCATCACCACCATTACCCCATTACCCCTATTCCCCCCATTACCCCATTCCCCCCATTATCCCATCACCCCCATTACCCCATCACCCTCATTACCCCATTACTCCATCGCCCCCATTACCCCATCACCCCCATTACCCCATCACCCCCATTACCCCATTACCCCATCACCCCCATCACCCCCATTACCCCATCACCCCCATTACCCCATTACCCCATCACCCCCATTACCCCATCACCCCCCATTGCCCCCATTACCCCATCACCCCCATTACCCCCATCACCCCCATTACCCCATCACCCCCATCACCCCCATCACCCCCATTGCCCCCATTGTCCCCACTGTGGTTCCAGACGTGGATGAGTGCGCTCTGTTTGCACCGCGCCTCTGCCGGGGGGGGGTCTGCGTGAACGCGGCCCCCGGCTTCAGCTGCTACTGCCCCAGCGGCTTCTACTACGAAGCGGAGCATCTGCAGTGCGTGGGTGAGCCCCAAAACCCCCAAACTGCACCCCAAACCTGCCCCTGCACCCCCAAACCTGCCCCTGCACCCCCAAACTTGATCCTGCCCTCCCAAACCTGCCCCTGCACCCCCAAACTTGATCCTGCCCTCCCAAACCTGCCCCTGCAGCCCAAACCTGATCCTGCCCTCCCAAACCTGCCCCTGCACCCCCAAACCTGATCCTGCCCTCCCAAACCTGCCCCTGCACCCCCAAACCTGATCCTTCCCTCCAAAACATGCTCCTGCCCCCCAAACCTGCCCCTGAGCCCCCAAAACTGCCCCCCAAACTTGCCCCTGCGCCCCCGAGCCTGCCCCTGCACCCCCAAACCTGATCCTGCCCTCCCAAACCTGCCCCTGCCCTCCCAAACCTGCCCCTGAGCCCCCAAAACTGCCCCTGCACCCCCAAACCTGATCCTGCCCTCCCAAACCTGCCCCTGCACCCCCAAACCTGCCCCTGCACCCCCAAACCTGATCCTGCCCTCCCAAACCTGCCCCTGCACACCCAAACCTGCCCCTGAGCCCCCAAACCTGCCCCTGCACCCCCAAACCTGATCCTGCCCTCCCAAACCTGCCCCTGCACCCCCAAACCTGCCCCTGAGCCCCCCAAACCTGATCCTGCCCTCCCAAACCTGCCCCTGAGCCCCTCAAAGCTGCTCCCCCAAACTTGCCCCTGCACCCCTGAACCTGCCCCCCAATCCTGCTCCTGCCCCCGCAACCCTCCTCCCCACATCCCCCCACATCCCCCCACATCCCCCCTTCCCCCTGACCCCCTTTCCCCCGTTCCCCCCCCAGACAATGACGAGTGCTCGGCGGCCGAGGCGGAGCCGTGCCTGGGGGGGCTCTGCACCAACACCGTGGGCTCGTTCCATTGCTCCTGCCCCCCCCCGCTCGTCTTGGACAGCTCCCAGCGCCGCTGCGTCGACAACGACACGAGCCTGGGTGAGGGCACAACCACTGCGGGGCCACGGGGGGGTATGGGGGACACTGGGAGCCAATGGGGGTCAATGGGAGCCAATGGGCATCAATGGGGGTCAATGGGAGCCAATGGGCATCAAGGGGGGTCAATGGGTGTCAATGGGGACCAATGTGAGCCAATAGGGGTCAATGGGGACCAATGGGTGTCAATGGTAGTCAATGGGTGTCAACGGGGACCAATGGGAGCCAATGGGGGTTAATGGGGGCCAATGGGGTGGGTGTCAATGGTAGTCAATGGGGGTCAATGGGGGTCAGTGGGGGTCAGTGGTGGCCAATGGTGGTCAATGGGGTTCAGTGGAAGTCTATGGTGGTCAATGGGGGTCAATGGGTGTCAATGGGGGTCAATAGGTGCCAATGGGGCTCAATGGCTGTCAATGGCAGTCAGTGGGGTTCAATGGGGCTCAATGGGTGTCAGTGGGGCTCAATGGGGTTCAATGGGGTTCAATGGGGCTCAATGGGGCTCAATGGGGCTCAATGGCTGTCAATAGGGCTCAATGGGTGTCAGTGGGGCTCAGTGGGTGTCAGTGGCAGTCAATGGGTGTCAATGGCAGTCAATGGCGGTCAATGGGGCTCAATGGGTGTCAATGGCAGTCAATGGGTGTCAATGGCAGTCAATGGGGGTCAATGGGGCTCAATGGGTGTCAATGGCAGTCAATGGGGCTCAGTGGGTGTGAATGGCAGTCAATGGGTGTCAATGGCAGTCAATGGGTGTCAATGGGGTTCAGTGGGTGTCAGTGGGGCTCAATGGGTGTCAGTGGGGCTCAATGGGTGTCAATGGGGCTCAATGGGGCTCAATGGGGCTCAGTGGGTGTCAGTGGGGCTCAATGGGTGTCAATGGCAGTCAATGGGGCTCAGTGGGTGTCAGTGGGGCTCAATGGGTGTCAGTGGGGCTCAATGGGGCTCAGTGGGGCTCAATGGGTCTCAATGGGGTTCAATGGGGCTCAGTGGGGCTCAATGGGGCTCAATGGGGCTCAATGGGTCTCAATGGGGCTCAGTGGGGCTCAGTGGGGCTCAGTGGGGCTCAATGGGGCTCAGTGGGGCTCAATGGGGCTCAGTGGGGCTCAATGGGGTTCAATGGGGCTCAATGGGGCTCAGTGGGGCTCAATGGGTGTCAATGGGGTTCAATGGGGCTCAATGGGTCTCAATGGGTGTCAATGGGTGTCAATGGGGCTCAGTGGGGCTCAGTGGGGCTCAATGGGGCTCAGTGGGGCTCAATAGGGCTCAATGGGGCTCAGTGGGTGTCAATGGGTCTCAATGGGGCTCAGTGGGGCTCAATGGGGCTCAATGGGGCTCAATGGGGCTCAGTGGGGCTCAATGGGGCTCAATGGGTCTCAATGGGGCTGACCGCGCGCGCCCCCCAGCGGAGGCGCAGGCCGTGTGCTGGCAGGAGCTGGGCGCGGACCTGGTGTGCGCGCGGCCCCGCCTGGACGCGGCCCTCACCTACAGCGAGTGCTGCTGCCGGCACGGGCAGGCCTGGGGCATGGAGTGCGCGCTCTGCCCCGCCCCCCACTCAGGTAACCCCCAGGGACCCTAGAGACACCCTATAGAGACCCTATAGACACCCTAGAGACACCCTATAGACACCCTATAGACACCCTATAGAGACCATAGAGACCCCATAGAGACCCCAGAGAGACCCTATAGAGACCCTATAGAGACCAGAGAGACCAGAGAGACCCTATAGAGACCCTATAGAGACCATAAAGACCTCATAGAGACCCTATAGAGACCATAGAAACCCCATAGAGACCCTATAGAGACCCTAGAGAGACCCAGAGAGACCAGAGAGACCATAGAGACCCTATAGAGACCATAGAGAGACCCTATAGAGACCCCAGAGAGACCATAGAGACCCCATAGAGACCCTATAGAGACCATAGAGACCCCATAGAGACCCTAGAGAGACCCCAGAGAGACCATAGAGACCCTATAGAGACCCTATAGAGACCATAGAGACCCTATAGAGACCATAGAGACGCTATAGAGACCCCAGAGAGACAATAGAGACCATATAGAGACCCCAGACAGACCATAGAGACCCCAGACAGACCCTATAGAGACCCCAGAGAGACCAGAGAGACCCTATAGAGACCCCATAGAGACCCTATAGAGACCATAGAGACCCCATAGAGACCATAGTGACCCTATAGAGACCATGGGGACCCTGTAGAGCACATAGAGCCCATATAGAGCACATAGGGACCCTATAGAGCACATGGGGACCCTGTAGGGAACACAGAGCCCCTGTAGGGAACACAGAGCCCCTGTAGGGAACATAGAGCCCCCATAGAGTACATAGGGACCCTATAGAGCACTTAGAGCCCTGTACCCCCTATAGAGCACATGGAGCTCCCCCCCATACCCCCTATAGAGCACATAGGGCCCCCCCGTACCACCTATAGAGCACATAGAGCCCCTCCTGTACACCCTATAGAGCACATAGGGCCCTGCAGCCCCATACCCACACCCCCCATTGACCCCCCCACAACCAGGGACCCCCTTCCCCCCCACTATAGGCAGCCATCCCTTGTGCCCCCCCCCTTTCCATCCCTACCTATGGGGCCCCCCACATAGACCCTGGGGTTCCGAAGGGGGGGTCCCCCCCCAAACCCCCCCCAACCCCCCCCTTTTCTCCTCTTCCCCCAGATGACTTTGAGCTCCTGTGCAATGTCCTGCACCCCCCTGTCTACGCCCCCCCCCCCCCCCCCCCGCCTACGAGTACTCCCCCGACTTCGCCCCCCTTCGGGCTCCCCTTTGGTTTCTTCGGGGGGCCCCCCCCCCCCCCCCCCCCCCGTTTTCCGCCCCGATTACGACCCCTACGGCTTCGGCGGGGGGGGGGCGGCCCGGGGGGCTTCGAGTTTGGGGACCCCCGCGCCGCCCCCCCCCCGCCCCACCGGGGGCGGGGACCCCGCTACGAGCCCCCCCCCAGGCCCCCCTGGGTCCTGCAGCCCCACGGGGGCCCCCCCCGAGGGTACCCCGAGGAGGAGGTGGGGGGCGAAGAGGAGGAGGAGGAAGAGGAGGAGCGGGAGGAAGGTGAGTGATGGGGTGCGGGGGGTGATGGGGTGCGGGGGGTGATGGGGTGTGGGGGGTGATGGGGTGCGGGGGGTAATGGGGTACAGGGGGTGATGGAGATGCGGGGGGTGATGGGGATGCGGGGGGTTGATGGGGTGCGGGGGGTGATGGGGTACAGGGGTGATGGGGATGCGGGGGGTGATGGGGGTGCGGGGGGTGATGGGGTACAGGGGGTGATGGGGTACGGGGGGTGATGGGGTGCGGGGGGTGATGGGGTGCGGGGGGTGATGGGGTACAGGGGGTGATGGGGTGCAGGGGGTGATGGGGTACGGGGGGTGATGGGGTGCGGGGGGTGATGGGGTGCGGGGGGTGATGGGGTGCGGGGGGTGATGGGGTATGGGGGCATGGGGTGATGGGGTGCAGTGATGGGGGGTGATGGGGTGCGGGGGGTGCGGGGGGTGATGGGGTAGAGGGGGTGATGGGGTGCATGGGGTGATGGGGTGCGGGGGGTGATGGGGTACGGGGGGTGATGGGGTGCAGGGGGTGATGGGGTGCAGGGGGTGATGGGGATGCTGGGGGTGAAGGAGATGTGGGGGCAATGGGGGGTTTTGGGTTCCCCGGGGGGTATTTGGGTTCCCCAGGAGGGTATTTGGGGTCCCCGGGGGGTATTTGGCTCCCTGTGGGGGTATTTGGGGTCCCCGGGGGGTATTTGGCTCCCTGTGGGGGGTATTTGGGGTCCCGTGGGGGGTATTTGGCTCCCTGTGGGGGGTATTTGGGTTCCCCAGGAGGGTATTTGGGGTCCCCGGGGGGTATTTGGCTCCCTTTGGGGGGTATTTGGGGTCCCCGGGGGGTATTTGGGGTCCCCGGGGGGTATTTGGGTTCCCCAGGGGGGTATTTGGGGTCCCCGGGGGGTATTTGGGTTCCCCAGGAGGGTATTTGGGGTCCCC